AATTAAAAGAACTTTTGCATCATGAGATATTAGAACACAAAATCGTACTGAGGACATTGTGGCTATTGAGACAGGTTACTACTATGCCTTTTAAAATGGCGTTATGTGAGATTATAAAGGGAAAGGTCTAAAAGGATGTGACATGAGGGCATTAGAATTGCTACATTGTATTTACAGTGCAGGAAGAGGCCATTTAACCCACTAAGTCCTTGTCAATCTTTGTTCTCTACACAAGCTTTTTTCTGCCCATCCTCATCTAACATCAATGCCTTGCTAGGCATTTCTCCTTCATGTATTTTTCTGGCCCTCCGTTTGATATATATTATTCAATTCACCTCATAATAAAGGTAATAGCAGTAGCAGAGCCACATGGATGATGAGTCCTGTACTTGTTCCTTTGCTATCACTTCTGCCATGAATTCTGCTCCAATATGTTTATGTTGTCTCAGACCTTCCACCCTCTGCAGACACTACATGACAGAGCGAATGTTTATCATGTGATGTTTAGAATGTTGATAGCTTTTATGCCAAAACTAATACATGTAGCAATAGACGCTGTCAGCATAATGTGTCTTCGTGATTCAAAAATGTTTTTCTTTGCAAGGAATATTACCTGCATGTTTTTAATAATCTTTTTCTGTGACCTTGCTCGATCAGATCAAATCAGGTTCAGGTCTCTGAGAAAGCATTTTGGACTAAGTAGCAAATTCAAAGCTGTCATCTGTGTTTAAAATAACATGAACTTGGTTTCACACAAATGCATTAACCTCTGTTTTACCAATATTGTATGGCATTTCAAATTAAAAACATACTTAAAGTTTTAGAGAAACCTCAGGCCAAGGATTAAGAATACAGTCAAAAGAGAAAGTAAAGCTTCATGAAATTGAATCCTGTAATAGGATCTGATAGCCAAGACCTATGTGTCCGTCATGCTGTAAACTTACTATAAAAATCCTATATTTGCAATCATATTTCTATCATTACAGAAATTAGTTCACTTTTTGTAAATCCACATTTACTACTGACTTTTCCTAACTGGAATATGTTCCCAAATGACTTCAGCCTCTGATACCTCAGCCAAGTGTTTATTATTCACCGAGATAGCAAGAACTGCAGATGCTGGAGTCAGAGATAACACAGTGTGGAGCTGGATGAACACAGCAGGCCAGGCAGCATCAGAGGAGCAGGAAAGCTGACATTTCGCGTCGGGACCCTTCTTCAGAAAAAAATTGTCTTCCAGCTCCACACTTTGTTATCTCTGTTTATTATTCACCTATGAGTTTGACCAGTGAGCGTCAGAATCGAACAGGTTAACTGCAGTCTCTCCTCGGACCCAGCTTTACCACAAGACCCACAATTATTGACTGCTTTTGATGGGCCTACTTAATGGGTCCATTTAATGCTTAATCAAATGCTGATAAATGTGTATAATGAAGAACACAAATTTTATACTGTACACAAAATGACAAAATATTGTGAAACATTGAAGTGGAAACATTCAGAGTCTTCCAAAAGCCTGTTGTCTAGTCTAGATTGGAAGGGAACTAGATTTCTTTTAGAAGTTGTGTGAATTGACTCACTGGAGTATTCATGTTACAGTGGTTCAAATCTCACTATTTAATTCTGAAATTTATTGAGCAACCTCCTCCAAAATTGGATTGTCCGCCTCAGAGCCAGTTGGGAAATAACTTGCCATTTTTATTTGTTTGAAATATAGTGAAGGGAACAAGTAACCTGCTCTTTACGAATGAATATCCACGCTGATATCCATGTTCACTCATCTCAATTGTTTGCCATTCTCATAGTTAAGACCATGCTGGTCAAAAGGACTTTGAATCTGAACGTGGATGTTAACAATCTCAAATTTGTAGTCATCCGTGCAAGTTGATGACATCTTGGAAGCTGCTCCTCCAAACCTTTGGGGGTCACTCAGCTGCCTTTGCCTACATCTAGGCAACACAACGTTTGCTTCCACTGACAACCTTGAAGCCAATTTACAGCCAATTAAATAATTTTGCGGTGATGTCACTTTTCTAATGTAGAGGAACTTGGCACGCAAATGGAGTTCAGCAAGGCCCGATAAACTGCAAGATACATGACCAAATGAGCTGTTTGAGGGAAGTTGTCGAGGATTAAACATTGGCAAGGACATCAAGGGAGCACTTCTGTTGCTGTTTGTAAAGTGCAATGAAATCTTTTGTGGCAGCGTCTCCTTCTGCCCTCTGAACCAAAAGGCAGCTCATCTGACTACTCAAATGCCCTCTTGTACTGTACTGCAGTGTCAGCCAGGATTATATACTCAAATATCTGGAGTGGAGCTGGAATCTAGACCTTTCTGACTCAAAGATGTGAGTGCTACCACAGATCAAAGATTGACACCTACTAGTGGTCCTTGTTCTGATGTTCCATGGTGGGGAAGCACCCTGTAAATTTTCTGCGCACCAATTGAAGAATTATGTCAGTTTGAACCACGGAGAAAATACTGTCACATAACTCAACAGCTGTGAGTTTTTTCGTTAAAAATGCATGTTCCTAACTTTTGATCCTACTGGAAGAAACTGGAAAAAACACAAGTCGTGAGCAGACTAATCGTCTTCTCCAGGGAGCCTGATTACTCAACAGCCGCTGAACCATGGCTTATGTTGTATTTTGACAATGGAACAGGGCAAGAAGGGACACACCAAAGCGAACTCTGCCAGAATGGGAATTGTACCTTACATTGTTGGCATTCATCTGAATCATTAAATTTCCCACCAGCCAACTGAGCTAACCAGTTTCTGACTGGTCTAATATTCATATCTAAATAGTTTCCTGTATAGAGAGTCATTTGTGTTAAGACATTTTGGTACTGAGAGAACTCAATTGGGAAATCCTAATGCCTAACCACAAGAATGTATATTTCCACATAAAGACCAAAAGGACTGCGGATGCTGTGAATCAGGAACAAAAACAGAAGTTGCTGGAAAAGCTAAGCAGGTCTGGCAACATCTGTGAAGAAAAAAATCAGAGTTAATATTTCGGGTCCGGTGACCCTTCCTCAGAACTGACCCTTCCTAAGAACAGAAGTGAGGAAGAGTCACCGAAACGTTAACTCTGATTTTGTTTCTTCACAAATGCTGCCAGACCTGCTGAGCTTTTCCAGCAACTTCTGTTTTTGTTGTTGTTGTTGTTGTTGTAGTAGTATATTCTCACACTCAGTTAGCCTGAATTTCACTGTTGAGTTGGGACAATGTCAGCAAACCAATTGGTTCTGCAAACCCAACGGAGGGAAAAGTACCCCAGATGATCTACATTTCGATACAGGGGAGTGGATGTTAACTGGAGTCCTTCCAGCTGCTCCAGCAAGCGTTTGGAGGCAACCATAGGGGCTACCTATCCCCCATGGATCTTAGCCACCATGTTATTGTAGTGCCAACTCATGCCAACCTATGTCTTCCACCCCACTACCCTTTGCCTCTTCACTCTCTGTGCCAACTCACTCAATATCCATCATGGACAGACCACAGGAGCTATTCTAGGTTGAAATAAATTAAAGTTCTAAGTGTCTATTGATTAATTCACTGTTCAAAAGTAATGTTCTCCTTGATTTAATTCCTATTTACCACATTTAAGTTCCTGCAGCAACTTAATTTTTTTTTCAAAACAGGCATTTATGTACATAGCTCCACCACAAAAACTTTGTTAATGCCAGTGGAACTGTCAATTAAAATGTGAATTGACAGACGTCACACCCATGATAATGATAGATTGTGAAATCAATAATGCAGAACAAATTTTCTCCTGATAGCCGTCAGATTTATGCCAATATATAGAGTGAAATAGCAAAAATTATTTTTATTTTATACCTCAAGACCTATTTCTTTATGTAATTAGAGGCCAATTATTTATCCACTTTTCACACACCTTTATGTCTACTTTTAACAATCCCCGAAGTCACTTGACCTTTCCAGATGGTGTCTATGAATATATCCAAAAGCTTACCCTAGTTTTCGAAATAACCCTGGCAGCTTTCGACTTTCTGGTAATGTAAAGCCAACAAGTCATCTTATAGACATCCTTCTAGTAAAAACTGGATTTCTTTGAAGGCACCTGCACTTTAATCTGTGTAACTGCCTCCATGCACCGCAAATGTACAAAGTTCAACCTGCCCCCATTCCCCTCCTGATGATGTTGAGTGCCACATTCAGGAGTGAGACTTCCAGAGTTGGGTGTTTGATGCAGTTTTGGCTAAGTAAGAGATCCTCTCCATCATTATGAGTATTTGGACAATAGTGTAGAGTAGATAGCTCCACCCCCCAGCTCATTCTCAGAATAGTCCTCTAGCGAAGGAACAGTCTTGATCATGTCAGTATTTAGTACGATTTAAACAAAGACAGCCGTCTATGTTGTGTAGTTTAATTTGCAAAGTGTACAAATTTCACGTAACCTAAAAGTAACCTTTAATAATAAAAACCAATAACCTTTCCACTGGAAATCTTTTTTTGATGTTCACATGCCAAAATGGATTTGAATTTCACTGAATTCGTATCTTCAAGTGTCGTCTTTGAGGAAATGAGGAATGATTTTAAGCCTGAGGTGTCAGTGAGACTTCCTATTGCCTATGTTAATATGTAAAATTACCACTGACTCTAGAAATAACTCCACAGAGGCTGGTCTCGCATCACTTAATCACCCTTTAGTTACACTTGGAGAGTCCTTGACACCGACCCACCTTCCTCAAAACCAGCCCTCAGAGTGAACAGGATGGCTGTCACTCCTGTTCTCATCTGTCAGCCGGGGCTCCCTGATTGTGATCCAATCAGGGAACCCATATGCTATGAGGTCCACCAGGCTGACTTCATTACAGTCACTACAGATCTAAACAAAGGGAATTATACCTAGTCAGAAAGTTATGTTTGCAAGTTAGTTGAAACCATATCTAGCTTTCTTTCCCTTTTTTATATAAAAATAATTTCTTCATGATTAAACTTATTTTAATGTCATTATTTCTGTTCCTACAGTGTTCGGACAGATCCCAGAACCAGAAAACCTGCGAATTGATTTTGTCGATTCAAAACGTATCCTCAAATGGGATCCTGTATTTTATCGAGGTAATTTAGTGACATACTCCATTCAAAGGTAAGACATCATGCTTTAACTTAGAACAGAAAAAATAGGATATTACATTGTCTATATCCTGATTATTCACTTCCCAATTACCCAGGAATAATTTTCATAGAACATGCCCTTGTATGATATGAAGCCACATTGCAGAGCATGCTAACACTTATGTCTTTATGATGTAAATCAATGTCACAGCTCCCAAAAATTTAAATTATGGCTTTCATTCCATACTTAAGATATTGATGTACCCTAAGTGCAAGTGATTAATTTGTAGATACTTAATCATCAGTTTCCATAACCCATCATGGGTTTAGGTCGGTTATGTTTAGTAAGGAAGATTCCACTTGAAAGTCTTTAGTAATAAAAGGCACTTCAAAACAGTTTCACAGACAAGAAATTTAAATAATTTTCCTAAGCTGATCCCTGCGCTGTTCTTAATGTATGCTGCATGTTCAGTCCTGAAATATTGTCTAAAAATAATTTACCATTTGCAGTTCTACATGTATAATGACTTTATATCCAAATTTCCTTTTGAAAATGCACTGTTAAATACATTTCCTCTCCTTTCATTTAACAGTGATGATTAATTTACAGAGGGGTGTCAAAGAGGAGAAGTATCAGGCCAGTCATTATATTGTGTATACAACTATACAGTGACACACTGTTAAGGAATGAGTTCCAGGATTATTTCAAGGAAGTGATTTAGCTAATAAAGTGCAAATGCTTAGCTGCAGGAACTTATAACTTTACTTTTGAACAGTGAATTAATCAATAGACACTAAGAACTTTAATTTATTTCAACCTAGAATAGCTCCTGTGTTCTGTCCACGATGCAGCTATTGACAGAACATTGAGGATGTGTAGGTGTAAAAAGTTCATTAATATTTGACCAATTCCAAGAAAAATAATGCATCATTTCATTCTGTACTGTTTACATAGTATTTGGTAAGTTTAGAAAGTAAGTCATTGTGAAGTAGGACCTGCAGACCTATGAAGTAACATCTCATAAAGAGAAATCCGGTCAAGCACATGTTAGGAATAAGTAGGCAATGTGGACCTTAAGAAACTGATCAAGAGCACTATTATTGCAAAAGATACGGTTCAGGTCATCTTGCCCCCATTTGAATAATTTTGTATACAGGGTAAAAGATATCAGTGTAGCTTTTCTCATACATGTTTCAGGGATGATTATCTTGGAGTCTGGAGTCGTATTGTTTTTGGTAAAATGGAGTCCAAGTCTAGTTACTGTGAGAATATGAGAATATGCCTTATTAAGCTGCTGTAGTTAAGAAGAACATAGAACAGTACAGCACAGTACAGGCCCTTCGGCCCACGATGTTGTGCCGACCTATTATCCTACTCTAAGATTCAGGGATGTGTAGATTAGGTGGGTTATAGGGGTATGGGTCTGGATGGGATGCTCCAAGGGTCGGTGTGGACTTGTTGGGCCGAAGGGCCTGTTTTCACACTGTAGAGATTCTATGAATCAAATTACCCTGCATACACTACATTTTACTATCATCCATGTGCCTATCCAAGAGTCACTTAAATGTAGTTCTGGTGCTAATCCTCCTCCCCACCTCCGGCCTGCCCCCACCCCTCCCAATAGTGTCAGGTAGTGTATTCTGACCAGTGATAATGATGGATCCATTGATTTTGTCAAATCAGAGGGGATCTTCAAATGGGATTTCTGTATTTTTTCAAGGTGATTTAGTGACATACTGTGTTCAAAGGTAAGATGCTGCACTTTAACTTAGAACAGAGAAATAGGAAACGACATTGCCTATATCCTGATTATGTCTAATTTGGAATGCTCAGTGACTCGAAGGTGCGAAATGTTCTAATGAATTTACCGTTCATGTCCTTCTTGGTGGAATAGATAAATGGGATAAATGTTTAAGTGATTAGAATCAGAAAGAGTATAAGAAACCCCCAATTATATTAAATTTTCTATGTGTTTGCTTTATGGAATCAGCTGACCGACTTGTTACTCATTTACTTTTAACAGGTTTCTCTTTCTGTCCAATTCCAACACAAGATATGGATCAAAAATCAAATTCTCGGATGTAATATATTTGATTAACATGGTACTCTCTAAACTACAAGTTCATATGGTTTGGTCCTAAATTTATTGGCAATGCAGTCATAATGGGAGAGGGACAAAACAAGAGCAAGAAGTCCTGCAGTGCTATAAATCAGATGAGATCTGGGAATATTAGGTCTATTCCCAGAAGGAAATCTATAATTAGTAGGACCTGAGGCAGGAAGAATGCATGTCTGTCCCATACATTAGCTCTGTCTGCACATAAAGACAGGGCTGGCAAACATGTCCTCAGTCTCATGGCTCCTTTCCAGCCTGTGCTCTGGACACTGACAGGAAACCAGAGCCCACACGTTTTAAGGGTTCAGATGTGATTCATTGGGGTATCCAAACCAGGCACAGGACGTAGAAGACCTCAAAATTGTCTCTGCTTTGTTTTCCTTTTTCATGTATACTCAGCATGTAAGCAACACTAGGGCAAGACTATTTAATATACATCCCTATTTACCCTGAGAGTTTGATTTTGAGTATCCTCCTTAAATTATTGTAGTATTTGTGATGCTGGTCCCGCAATGTCTCTTTAAAAACTCCAATAATTAGCTGGTGGCTTTTCAATAAACAAGGGAACATGACTTTTAAAAGATTGGGAGTTGGGAGAGCAAGAGAACAAAATATTGAATGCCTACGGTGCAGGAAGTGTCCATTTAGCCCATCGATTCTGCACTGACCCTCCAAAGAACATACCACCCAGAACCCCTCTCCCCCACACCCCCTGCCCCACCACACACACACACACCCGGTATTTCCCATGGCTAACCCACCCAGCCTGTACATCCCTGGACACTGCAGAGCAATTTAGCATGGCCAATTCAATCAAACCTACACACCTTTGTGGGAGGCGTGGGAGGAAACCGGAGCACCCAGAGGAAACCCACAAGGAAGAATGTGCAAACTCCACACAGACAGTACCCAAGGCTGAAATTGAACCTGGGTCCCTGGTACTGTAAGGCAGCAGTGCTAATGTGGAAGCAAACAAGAAGTGAGGCGTTCAGTGGGAGCTTTAAAGAAAAATAGGGATTGTTCTGTTGAACAAAATGGTGAACAGTGTTCTTAGAGAGGGTGAGGTGTGAGTGAATATGGAGTGGCTCTTTCATAGAGTACAAAGCAGTGGCTTCATACAGAATGGGCCTTTCAAAATGAACAAGGAGTGGAATTTTCAAAGAACATTGGTGCTGTCAGACAGAAGAGAGAAGTTACATCAGTGATGGGAGTTGGCAGGAGTCTTGTATGGGATTTTCCATTCTTACTTCCCAGATTTGTTCATCACATAAGTTTGTGGCTTGTGTAGGTTATTTGTAGAACATCATTTGACCCAGTGAGATGAGATTACCCAGCAAATACACGACTTCTGACTGTAAACCTCCCACCTGGTTCTCTCCCTTATTGGCAGCCATTCAGGTTTTCATCACACTTGGCTAAAGTCATGGGGAAGCTTGTACTTTTTCCAAAAAAGCTTAGCTTTGCTCCGTCTTATTAGCCTGGATGCAGGCAGAAGGAATCATTGAAAAAAAGTAGAAATGCAATATGAAATTAATATGGAATAGAGGAGCAGTAGTAGGCCATTCAGCGCTTCAAGCCTGCTCCATCATTTGATATGATCATGTCTGATGATCCAACTCAGCTCAACATTGCTGCTTTGTCCCTGCTTTGATCTCTTTAATCCTAAGACTATATCTATCTCTTCCTTGAAAATCTTCAGTGTTTTGGCCTCAACAGCTTCTAGGGGAAGAGAATTCCACAGGCTCATCACTTTCTTGGTGAAGAAATTTCTTCCTTTCTCCATCCTTAAAAGCCTACTCCTTATCCTTAGACTATAACCTCTGGTTCTGGACTCTCCAGTCATCAAACCTGAAGAAGGGTAACACCTGAAATGTTGACTGCTCCTTTCCTCCGGATGCTGCCTGGCCTGCTGTGTTCTTCCAGCCTCCTGTTTGTCTACCTTGGATTGCAGCATCTGCAGTTTTTTTTTGTCTCTAGTCAGGAATATACTTCTTGCATCTGCCCTATCTAATCCTGTTGGCATTTTATAGGTTTCTATGAAATACCCCCTTATTCTTTTAAACTGTAGTGACTTTAGCCCTAATAGATACAATCTTTCCCTGCATGTAAGTACCATCATCCCAGGAATCAGTCTGGTAAGTTTTCTTTGCATTCCCTTTATAGCCAGAACATCGTTCCTCAGATAGGGAGACCTAAATCGTACATAATACTTCAGGTGTGGCCTTACCAATGCCCTGTATAGTTGCAGTAAGATATTCCTGCTCCTGTACTCAAATCCTCTCCCTATGAAAGCCAACATTACATTTGCCTTCTTCACTGCCTGCTGCACCTGAATGCTTACTTTCAGCGACCGGTGTACAAAGACACCCAGGTCTCATCGTACCTCCCCCTTCCCCAATTTATTGCCATTCAGAAGATAATCTGCTGCCTGTTCTTGCTATCAAAGTGGATAACCTCACATTTATCCACATTATACTGCATCTGCCATGTATTTGCCCATACACTTAATATGTTCGAATCACACTGTAGCTTCTCTGCATCCTCATCGCAGCATACCCTCCATCCAGTTTTGTGTCTGCAAACTTGGAGATATGCCATGTTGTTTCCTCATCTAAATCATGAATATATATTGTGGATAGCTGGGGCCCGAGCGGTCATCCCTGTGATATCCCAGAAAACCAACTGTTTATTTCTGTTGTTAGTTTCCTGTCTGCTAATCAGTTCTCAATCCATTTTAGTGCCCAGACCCATGCACTTTAATTTTGCATGCTAATCTCTTACGTGGGTCCTTACCAAAAGCCTTTTGGAAATCCAAATAAACCACATTGACTGGCTCCCCTTCTTCCACTTTATTCATTCCTAGGTACTCTGTAACCATGGAGGCTAATGGAATTTTACAACATGAAGGGCACCTGAGCTCACTGCATTCTGTTAAGGCAGCAATTAGATTGTTCCTCTTTTCCTCAAACCTGTATAATTATCTGCTTTGCAAACATTTACCCATTTCCTTTTGAAAAACTACTTTGGATTCTACTTTCATCAATATTTCCTAATAACCCTCCGTAGGTATAAAAAAAAGCCTAAAATTATGGTTATGGTGAAGTCATTAGAAAGTTATGTTTGTCAGTTACCAATTCACTGATCATCGGAAATAGCTTTTCCCACCACTCAGTTTTAGATAATTTCCACTCACCATGTTCAATGGTGTTGAGCTTCTGGAGCAGGTAGGACATGAAGCCAAGCCTCTTAGCTTCGAGGTAGGGACAGTAAAACTGCACCACAAGAGCACCACCACCACCACCAACTTATTTTATGGAAAACAGCAAATGATAATATTGAACGTCTGTAGCAGAACTCTTAAAGTTCCCTGCTGTATTGAAAGGAGCGCTACCTTCACTAGGCTATATCAGTATAGAATCTGATCCTGGTGTTTTTTCTCCATCTTCCACATAGCCTTGATTCCCAGCCCATAGTAGGGCACCCAAAACTAATCCCTAAATAATTTTACCTTCTGTTTGGCACAAATTGATATGCTGTTCACTTGGGTCAATGTCTTTGTTGTTGCAACCAACTTTTTCTAGAACATTCGAAAGCCATGACAATCGAAGTTGGCTGGATGTGCAGAACTGCATGCTGACCACTGAAACAAGATGTAAATTGTTGAATGATATCAATGTGGCTTGCAACCTAAGAGTGAGAGCAGAACATGGAAATGAAAGATCAAACTGGGTTGAAGCAGGTAAGAGATAAACTTCCATTAGTAACTTTTTCTAAGTTGTTTCTGGACTAGTTCTGCTTTTCACACACCGAAGCTTCAGATTGAACACTAGGAATTTCTCTGCTGTTTCAGAACATTATTGAATTGGATTTGTGTTACTGTGTCGTAGAGACTGTAAAGGGTCCATAAGGACTGTTGTGATATAGTGGTAGTGTCCTTATTTCTGAGCCAGGAGGCCTAAAGTCAATCCCACCTGTTCCAGATGAATGTGACAACATCTCTGAACAGGTGGATTTGAAAATATCTGTAAAGGCCTCAGGTTCAGTTCTTGACTTCTACTACTTCGAGTTGAGAGAACCCTAATGAAGAAGGCCCATGTTCAGCCAGAAGGATGCCTGTTTGTGGATGCAGTGTTTTGCCTTCTGTGTTAGAATATATGAAATTACATACGATGAAAAGACATTGAATCAAGTAGCAGACCATTGTCAGCAACCATGGAACTGTACATCAGTAACTATTACAGAGTTGCTTTGAATATACAGCACAAGTATTTAGTGGTAATGCTGATATTTGTGCTTCAGTTGAGCTCTCTTCCATCTTTCTTAATCTATGTCTAATGACATAAACCTGTATTCCATTCTCCCTCCTACACTGGTCGAGCTTCTCTTTGAAAGCATCTGTACTGTTTGCTTCAACAACACCCTATGGTGGTGAGGTTAGATTGTCACTAGTTTCTGGCTAAACAGCTTTTTCTGAATTTCCCATTTACTTTCAGATGATTTTTTGAATGGGGTAGCCCAGTGGCTCAGTGGTTAGCACTACTGCCTCACAGTGCCAGGACCTGGGTTGGATTCCAGCCTCGGGTGACTGTACAAACTCCACACAGACATTCTCCCTGTGCCTGCATGGGTTTGCACTGGTTTCCTCCCACAGTCGAAAGATGTGCCGATTAAGTGGATTGGCCATGCTTAATTGCCCTGTAGTGTCCAGGGATGTGCAGGCTGGTTGGATTAGCCATGGGAAATGCAGTATTACAGGGATAGTGTAGGGGGTTGGGTTTGGTGGAATAATCTTTGGAGGGTACGTGTGGATTCAATGGGCCAAATTCTACGGCTACCTTATATTGACAGCCTGTAGTTTTACTTGTCCCCAGAAGTGGAAAGATTCTCTCTGTGTATCTTCTATTAAAACTTTTCACAATTTTAAGGAATCTATTGACTCTCAGGGCAGAATATTATAGGGGTCTCCAGAGTAAGTTGGACCTGTACTCATTGGAGTTTAGAGGAATGAGGGGTGACCTAAATGAAACATACAGTGATAATGAGGGTACGTGACAGGGTAGATTGTGTTTCCCCTTGTGGTTCAGTCCAGAACCAGCAGGCATAAACTCAGAATTGGGAGCCGCCCACTGAAGATAGAGTTAAGGAGGAGTTTCTTCTTTCAGAGAATAGTGAATATGTGGAAGTTTTTACTGTGGAGGGCTGTTGAAGTGGGGTCATTAAATATATTCAAGGCTGAGATAGACAGATTTTTAAACAGTAAGGGAATCAAGGGTGATAGGGACAAGGCAGGAAAGTGGAGTTGAAGGTTATCAGATCAGCCATGATCTCATTGAATGCTAGGGTAAACCTGATGGGTTGGAATGGCCTGTTTCTGCTGCAACATCTCAGAGGTCTATAATGAGCCAGTACCATCTACATGCACACTAACCCTACTTATCATTGAACCCCACCCAACTGTTGTGCCTTATAACTGCCCAAGGAGTGATACTGTTGGATGGAACAACACAGCTAGAACCTACGCAGAGACTTGTACAACCAGATAACAGTGAAAAAACAAACTTTTATCAACAGGACAAATGATTTATGTTACTATCAGGCCTGTCTCCCACCTGTCCTCATCCTCTCCCTGCCACTGTGCCTCACTACACTTCCGTGGTGCGCAGGTGGGGTGGAGGGGCACTTGCTCCGTAGTGGATCCCTTTGACACTAGCGGTTTGCTAGGATGATGCTGGGAGCATTTAGCCCGGCACGGGCGAGGGTTTTCCTATGAAAGGCAAGTTAACCCTTCTTGACCTGATCTTCCAAGTGTTGGAAAGGACAGGCAGGGACAGGTGCAGTGTCCTGAAGGGAATGCATGGTTCCTCCTCTGGCTGGGTGCTTCCTGGCACTGCCCTCTCTCCATGTAAGAACAGGGCACCTGGACTCAGGTTAAGGCTCCCCAGCTCCACACTTACCCTGCCCTCCTTCCTGACCACCCATACCTGGGAGTGATGAAGTATATAAGCCATGACTCTCCAACATCCCATTTGGGAGCTGGGGCCATTACTCCTGCCTCTGAGCAATGATAGCTAGTGCATCCTGTAAGACAGGCTGCTACTGCTGCTCCGTTCGCATTTGCATGAAGACCCTGATTGCTGAGACCATAGAGTGCTGCCCTGCCAACAGCTGAACAGGTGCCTGGTCTCTAACACTCCTCTGACTGTCAGTATCCTAGGGCATTTTCTGCAGGACAATTAGTGTGAGGTTCTATGCAGCATTCGAGCCCACACCCATTTCCCTGTCAGAGTTGGTGGAGCAGGTGGGGTACAGAAAACTCCCTTGTCAAAGCTTCCATCTGGCCTTGGCCTTGCAGAACTCGTGAATGTGTCCTCTGGGAGAGACAGGCATTCTGGCAATGTACCAGGACGCTAGCTGCACCTGTAAGATGCAAGAGCCAGAAAGCGTCACAGCATCTGGTTACATGGTGCCCAATACATGACCTGACTGCCTGGTAAATGCCCGTGTTTCATTTCAATGATGAGTGGTACTTACCCAGCTGCTGGGACATTGATATCTCTGCATTCCCGCAGGAGGAGACCTCAAAAGAGACATCCTCGTCCTCCCCTGTGAGAGCAAGTATATTGCCCTCATATTTCATTCACTCATGTCTTTAGGGAAGGAAATCTGCTATCCTTAGCTTGTCTGAATTTGAATCCAGACCCACAGTAATATAGCTGACTCTTAACTGCTTCCTGGAATGGCCTAGCAAGTCACTTAGTTCAAGGGCAATTTGGGACCAGCAACAAATTCTGGCCTGGCCAGTAATGCAGACATCCCATGAAAGAATAAAAAGAATCTGAGTTATGTGCCCATCCTTAGTTTCAATTTAATAATGTCCCCTTTACTTTTTCGCACTTCTTCTCAGTATTTACTGTTGCCCCCAATCTAGTGTCATAGAAATTATGTCTTTAATTTAAAAAACCGAAATTGTGAACACCAATAGCCCCAGCACTGATTCTCGTACGACTTCACTTTTGCTCTCTGATCAGCTTCCTGATTTCTGCTCTCTACTTCTTGTCTTGAAGCCAGCCAGCTATCCATTTTACAGCTTGTCCCTTAACCCTGCTTTATTTGTCAATCTATTATGTGGCATCTTATCAAAAGTGTTTTGGAAATCTAAATAAATTACATTTACCACATTACCCTTTCTAGCTCACACTCAAGTTTTCAAAGGATCCAATAAGGTTGGACAAGCAAAAATTTCCTTTTGAAATCCATGAGGATTATATATTTAGGTCCAGATGTTACTCTTATTTTCTTTTTTATTGAGGAATCTGTTAATTTTCCTACCACTGATTTTAAGTTGTCTGGCCTAGAGTTCCCTGGACATTTATTATTCCCCATCCTACATATGGTGCTTTAGCAAGAGATCTCTGCAATCTGCCTTTTTCAAATGATCAATTACAGTAATTAGTAACTGTATGTCACTTAGTAGGTTGAAGAATAGATGGTGCTAGGAAGACATGAGGAGACTACCTGTCCATGTTTAGCTTCCTCTGAAAGTATTTATTCCTTCCAGTTAAAGAGCTGAGAATGTTTTTTTATAATTGAAGGAAAATGTCAGTTCTCCTTGTTAAGGTCATTAATAATTAGCCTGTATGCTATTCAGCAGTTCCAGTCAGATTGGAAAATGAAAGACAGCCCATCAGCTGAAAGCAATCATTGGCATCAATGTGGCAGAGTCCCTCATTTTTGTTACAGGGTTTTCAAAGTTTACAGCCTCTCACAGGCAACACTGTGTGTCCATAGATAATGTGGCCAGTTTTCCTCGAGCTACTTTTAAAAAGTTATTTCTGTGAAAGTTTTCAGTGCTAGTGATGAATATGCTTTTGATTGCAATTGTGTATGATACCCTGTATGATACCCTGTATGCCCTGAACTGCTGTATGTTTAACTGTGACTTGCTCCTGTTGCTCACGCTGTAGCTCTGCTGGCTAGGCGCTACAGTGGATTTGAAAACTTGGCTGAATTTTAGACTGCCACGCTGGTGAGTTTGGGGACATGATGTAGGCAGGAGCTGCTAAATCCAGTGGATAGCTTTCCTGAAGACTACCCACCCACTTGTGTCCCTGTACAAGTTTACAAGGGAGGAGTGATGTCAAACAGCCTGCCCATCAAGGGGCCTGTTGAGCCCCTTATTTGGTGACTCGTTCCCGCTTAAAGGCCTTATTGCACTGTCACAGCAATTTAAATGCTACTGGAGAGGCTCAGCCTGAGCGGTCAACCCTTGCAGGTTTCTCTGTGTGGGCTAGTCCTGGGGAGGGGCCCTTCTTAATGGGAAGCTGGCAGCCATCAAAGGGATGCTCACCACCCAAGCTGTAACCTCCTCCATTCCCCTTTGTTCCTCCTCTGCCTTTCTTTCCAGTGCCCTCACCAGACTTGCTACGCAGGTCTTCAGGGAGAGCCCTGACCTGCCTGCTGGGCTGGGTCCAGCACAGCACAGCCCCTCCCGTTCTTGTTGCAAGACCAGTAATGACCACTGCTCCCTGTGACATTGCCGATACTGGATAACTACCAGCTTTCAGAGGGGAGCCGTTCTGTTCCTGAGAACCCCCTCTCCTTGTTTAAACATGCAATCATGACAGGGCAGCTGTCATTTTATTGGTGATAGTAGGAACTGCTGATGCTGGAGTCTGAGATAACAAAGTGTGGAGCTGAATGAACACAGCAGGCCAAGCAGCATCAGAGGAGCAGGAAAGCTGACGTTTCGGGTCTGACCCCTTCTGACCATTTCTGAAGAGGGGCCCAGACCCAAAAAGTCAACTTTCCTGCTCCTCTGATCCTGCCTGGCCTGCTGTGTTCATCCAGCTCCACACTTTGTTATGTCATTCTATTGGGCTGGGTTTACCTGTCATTTTTAGCCAGTGATAATGGGGGGTGGAGGGTATACATGAAAGGTACAGGTGCAGACTACAGCATTGTAAAATCTAGCTAAAATCGAACTGATGAGGACCTTTCCTTTGGCTATGGGTCTACAGAGGGTGTGTGAGATGGAATCTTGATTTTAGAGAAAATGCAGAAAGATTTACAAGACGGGTTCCAGTTTGTGAGACTTGAGCTTGACGCCTAGATTGGAGAACCTGGGGCTGTACTATTTAGAGATGACTGGACTGAGAGAGGATTTGCCCGAGATATTCAAAATCATGAGAGATTTGGGCAGTAGTTGGAGAAAGATTATTCCCATTGAGAGAAAGGTTGAGAACCAGACAGCACCAATTCAAGATAATTGGCAAAACAACCAAAGGTGAGACAAGGAGAAAACTCTTTCTGCGGCGGGTGATTAGGATCTAGAACGCACTGTCTGAATGGGCAGTGGAAGCAGATTCATTCCTGCATTCCAAATGAGAATTTTATAAACACATGAGGGAAAGTTAAATTGCAGGGCTATGGGGAAATGTCAGGGAAGTGGAGCTAACTAAATTGCTCTTGCATAGAGCTGGCATGCACTTGGCCTCCTTTTGTACTGAAGCCATTAATATCTAACCCACTTGCTCATAGAGCCATAATTAACTTTACCATCCCACAGAGCTAATTCCAGGTTTACTTCAAGCAAGGGAGCTATCTTGATCTCAACAGTGAGAAATTGCATTTCTTAACTGTGGTGCAATACTAAACTCTTATGAAATGATGTATGGCATTCTCAATCTGAGCTCATGATGGACTGGCTGCATCTAAAATTGGAAAAACCCTGGGAGGTGTGTACCTGCTAATTACAAACATATTTATTTTAACAATGATAATGCTGCATTGCACAGTTAGTTTATATAATTGAACCTAGAGTATTTTTTTAATCCTTAAGATATTCTTTTTTCTCTTACTTATTACATCTGATGTTTGTCTTTTTTGCTTTTGTAGTGGCTGAACCAAAAAATGTGAGAGTTGATTCTTTGAATAAAAAGCATGTTGTCAAATGGGATCCAGATGTTTACCAACTTGGCCCTGTGACCTATTCTGTCCAGTACCAAGGGTAAGAGAATGGACTTTAACTCAAAAGAATATAGCCTGGATATTGTTGTTACAAGTAAACTTACACTGATGTCAAATGTGCAGTAGTAGTCTGAACAAAGATATAGCAATCATGGTTAATCTTGGGCTTCAACTCACATATTCCTTGCTGTCCATTCCCTATGTCCCTTGAATACCTGAGAGACCAAAAACCTGTCTTTTATAGCCTTGGAGCATGGTATCACGACCAGAGCTCCATCTGATCATAGTTTCATCCATAACAGTTTGAAGAGTACATTTCTACTTCCTGTTTAATCATTGAATTGTAGGATGATGCAACAGAGGAAAATTAGAAAGACATTGCAAAGAATTAAGAATGTTACCTTAGAGTAATGATTGGATAGGCTGGGGTGGTTTACCTTGGAACAAGAGGAGTATAAGGGATAATTTAATTGTTGTGTAAAACTAGGAGGGGCCCAGATGAAGTGAGTAGGAAAGAATAATTTCTCTGATAATATGAGATTAAAACCAAGGATGTATATTTAAATTAATTGAGAGAATGATTAGAAGATAGTTGAAACAAATGTTTTCACACAGAGAGTGAGGGGGTCTTATACTTATTGCCTCAAAGGGTGGTGGAGGCTGAAAGCCTCAATGCATTGCAAAATGCTGGATTTGAAGAGCCATGAGTTGGAAAGTGAGATTAGACAGGATAGCTCTTTTCTCAGCTGCCACAGACAAATTGACCCTCCTTCAGCACTGTACATTTGTTGTGTAGGCTGACATATGCAAGGCAGTGAACTGCTTGGCGCCCTCCCACCACTCCTCACTCCCCCAGAGGGGGAGCGCTAGTCCATAAGCTAATCGACGTCTTACATGCAGATCCTAAAGAAACAACACACTGTGGGTGTTGAAAATCTGAAACAAGAGAAGGAACTGCTGAATATGCTCAGCAGGTCAGGCAACCTCCATGGAGATAAACAAAGTTAAAATGTCAGGACAATGGTCTTACATGACTATTTCATCACATTGTTTAGCTTTATTCAAAGTTGCCTGCTTCTTCCAGGAAAAATTCAGGCAGCAAGATCTCTAAGCATTTCCTTTGTGATTCATAAGTAAATTTTCTGCAGTGTGTAATTTTTCATATGGTCATCAAATTTACCATGTCTTTCTTGTGCCAGTTGAGGAACTCTCCCACTATTACAGAGTTACATGAGGTTTCTTTAATACTATGCAGAGTGATTTGCTCCAGTCTGATTGAATGCATTATAATTCTCATGGCTATTTATTAGCCTTGTTAATTTCCTCTGGTGTTATATGTTGTTATACATAAAATTAAACAAACCTATTATATAACATTTTTTAAAATTACTTCTCCATATTTTGCTTGCAGTTTTCATTTTGTTTTTGTATTTAATTATCTTTCTCTGAAAACATCTTTTATTGCTTTCCACATTTTGCAAGATTAAATTATTAGTGTAATCATAATTGTGTGGGATAGTTTTAAGTTCTGATGGAAAATTCCATTCCCCACCTACCCACATCATTAGCACATTCCAGGAACTGTGTTGGTTAAAGATGTCCCGCAGGCCCGACCAGTCCCCCTCCACTGACACCCTCATCCGCTTAGCCGAACTCGTCCTCACACTCAACAACTTCTCTTTCAATTCCTCCCACTTCCTACAGACAAAGGGGGTAGCCATGGGTACCCGCATGGGCCCAAGCTACGCCTGCCTCTTTGTAGGTTACGTGGAACAATCCCTCTTCCGTACCTACACCGGCCCTAAACCCCACCTCTTCCTCCGTTACATTGATGACTGTATCGGCGCCGCCTCGTGCTCCCACGAGGAGCTCGAACAGTTCATACACTTCACTAACACCTTCCACCCCAACCTTAAGTTTACCTGGACCATCTCTAACACCTCTCTCCCCTTCCTGGACCTCTCTGTCTCCATATCGGGCAACCACCTAGAAACCGATATTCATTTCAAGCCCACCGACTCCCACAGCTACCTAGAATACTCCTCCTCCCACCCACCTTCCTGCAAAAATGCTATCCCCTATTCCCAATTCCTTCGCCTCCGCCGCATCTGCTCCCAGGATGAGGCATTCCACTCCCGTACATCTCAGTTGTCCTCGTTTTTCAAGGACCGTAACTTCCCCTCCTCGGTGGTCGAGAACGCCCTCAACCGTGTCTCCCACATCTCCCGCACCTCATCCCTCACACCCCGTCCACGCAATAAAAACCAAAAAAGAATCCCCCTCGTCCTCACGTACCACCCCACCAACCTCCGGATCCAACGCATCATCCTCCGACACTTCCGCCATCTGCAATCCGACCCCACCACCAAAGACATCTTTCCCTCCCCACCCTTATCTGCTTTCCGGAGGGACAACTCTCTCCGTGACTCCCTTGTCCGCTCCACACTCCCCTCCAGCTCCACCACACCCGGCACTTTTCCCTGCAACCGCAGGAAGTGCTACACCTGCCCCCATACCTCCTCCCTCACCCCCATCCCAGGCCCCAAGAAGACTTTCCACATCAAGCAGATGTTCACCTGCACATCTGCCAATGTGGTATACTGCATCCGCTGTACCCGGTGTGGCTTCCTCTACATCGGGGAAACCAAGCGGAGACTCGGGGACCGCTTTGCAGAACACCTACGCTCGGTTCGCAACAAACAACTGCACCTCCCAGTCGCGAACCATTTCAACTCCCCCTCCCATTCCTCAGATGACATGTCCATCCTGGGCCTCCTGCAGTGCCACAACGATGCCACCCGAAGGTTGCAGGAACAGCAACTCATATTCCGCTTGGGAACCCTGCAGCCCAATGGTATCAATGTGGATTTCACAAGTTTCAAAATCTCCCCTCCCCCTACCGCATCCCAAAACCAGTCCAGCTCGTCCCTGCCTCCCTAACCTGTTCTTCCTCCCACCTATCCCCTCCTCCCACCTCAAGCCGCACCTCCATCTCCTACCGACCAACCTCATCCCGCCCCCTTGACCTGTCCGTCCTCCCTGGACTGACCTATCCCCTTCCTAACTCCCTACCTACACTCACCTTTCCTGGCCCCATCCCCGCCTCTTCGACCTGTTTGTTTCCTCTCCACCTATCCTCTCCTCTATCCCTCTTCTATCCGCCTCCCACTCTCTCCCTATTTATTTCAAAACCCCCTTCCCCTCCCCCTTTTCTGATGAAGGGTCTAGGCCCGAAACGTCAGCCTCTCTGCTCCTATGATGCTGCTTGGCCTGCTGTGTTCATCCAGCCTTGCACCTTGTTGTCTCGGTTAAAGATTTAGATGTGTTTATCAAATAATTGAAATAATATATTTGTTTGTCCATGTAATTGGGAATGTGGTTTGTGCTCCCTATTGTCTGGGAGATTCATCATTTAAAAGCTGTCAGAGTTCTGACGAGAAGCAGACAAGAAATATGTGGTTGTCATGCATGTGAATAACTGAACAAAGTTGTTCCCTTTTATAATACTTAGCTTAGTACTGGTATTGATTGACGTTGCAGTCCTTAACAAATTCACTTTGAACTTCAATGATAGCCAGGTATTTGATTTTTTTGGAGTGTTTAGATATTGTCTGACAGACTAACATTAATGTACGAAGGTTAAGGAAAGGGAGAGTATAAAGAGATGGACCTGGAAATGATTATGATTGGTATTATTGTACAATTTGTCTCAAATTCATTTCTGAATTGTTTATAGATGCTGACTTTTCATTATTTAAGGAATATTATTGCTCAAATGTTTAAGTATTCATGAAATAATTACCTCTCATAGTAATCCCACATTACAATATCAATTAACATGCAGGGGGACTCGTCTGATATGAACTAAAAGGCCTGAATTTTACAGTTCTAAGAATTGTGATGTATTCTGCATTCACTGCTACTGAATACCAGGAAGTCCTGGTAATTTTCCATAGTATGAGCACTGTGGTGCACAAATCCAGAAGTTACGATGCACCAATCAGTACTGCTCCTGAGAATTCACTGCTTCTAACAGCCGAATGGGACCAACTTAAATTTGGCAGACTGCACAATAATTCTGAATTACCACCCATTAGAAAATTTATCCCTGGTGTTTCCAGGCATTAAGGAGCCTCCTGGCATTTTGCAAACACTTTTTGAGAAGGTTCACACCAGAAAATATCTTCTAAGCTTTAAATTCAATTGATTTTCTAAGAACATTAATATAATTGTTAAAAGTCCTATGATTAATCATGTTCTTTCATTTGTTTTAATGTAAGTTTCCTTTTTAAACAACTCAGTTAAATCTTATTAAAAGGTAAATTAAATTATTTTTTAGCTTGATTTATCAGATTGTTTAGTTGATAGCGAAATACAGGTCACCATGTCCTTGTGCCAGGCAAAACTCTTGACATAGTTGCTGTCTGCCGAAGATAAGGTACCTTTTTGAAAATTGATTAACGTGTATCACCTTTTAGTCAATCTTCACAATGCAAACTTTTACTTTCTCCAGAAACTACGAAAGAATGCACAATGAAAGTTGGTCAGAAGCACAGAACTGTACACGTATCACTGAAACGGATTGTGATTTGTTGAACAGTTTTGCTTTCTACGCAAAGTATTATCTAAGAGTGAGAGCAGAACTTGGAAGTGCAACATCACCCTGGGTTGAAATATTGCCCTTTTATCCATATAAAGACAGTAAGAAATCTACTTATATTCAGGATGTTTATTTGAATATTTTTGCCTTCCGTACCTTTAAACTTTTTAATGTATTCAAATGATTAGTTGCCTTGTTCTAATAGGTATTTGATTGCAAACACAGAATGCAGTCACTGTATCTTAAGATAGAACAGCATACTTATAATGCATTTCATGCCCTCAATGTCCCAAAGCCTTTACAGCCAGTGTTGGAATTTGGAAGATACGGCAACCAAGTTGCACACAGCAAGGTGCCAAAGGCAGCAATATGACAATGAATTGATAATCTGGTTCAGAGTTCATTGAGGCATGCATATTGGTCAAAATCCAAGGCGATCATCCTGTTCTTCAAAACAGGACATCACGGGATCTTTACAACGACCTGAGCAGACAGTAAGGACCACAATTATAGGTCTGGACTGCAGGATGGCACTTACAAGGGTGCGATACTCCCTTAATATTGCGTTGAATTGTCAGCTTAGGCTTTGTGAACCCAGCACTCACTGAGCCACAAAGGTTGAAGTGACTGACTGAATCTGTTTATTATTTACTTAGCAATGTATTTACTTACTTAGTGGGTGATAGCAACTGTGGTTGCCTCCCCCCTGCACCCCACTATTCACTGTCCTCTCCATCCCATACCCCAACGACAAGAGTAGAAATACTAATTTCAGTCTCTGGAGTCACAAAAACATTTTTGTTCCTTGTCCAATTGCAGGTGGTCAGATTTGGTTTCAGTCTATTTTGCCTGACATTTTTAGAAAGCTGATTGCTTAAGATGGATGGTGTCTGGCATGTTGCAGACTTAAAGGTGCCCATTATCTGTCTTCACATGGTCTTAACAAAAATTTGTAGCTCGGGTTGTGGATGCAGTTGCTCATTAGCTCGCCGAGCTGGTTGTTCCGTGGTGTGCAGACGTTTTGTTTCCATTCTAGGCAACATCATCAGTGCGACCTCTAATCGAAACGTTGATGTTCTGCTCCATTTCAAATTTACATGATCTTCGTGTGTGGTGGGTCTTGTCACTTCTGGTTCTGTTGTTTTAGCAGCGGTCTGGCATAGGTATGGAGAGATATAGACCAAATGCAGGCAAATGGGACCAGTCTAAATTGTGAAAAATGGGTGGCATAGTCGAGTTGGGCCAAAGTGCCTGTCTTCATGCTGCGGACTCTATGACCTCAGAAATGATGCTTGGCCACTTTGTTAGATACTGGAGGGCTGATTATGCCCTTGGAACCTCAAACTATACTCTTCAATAGGTCAGTATCTACAGGATAGGACTGGAAAAATATAACAGAGATAGGCAAAGAGGGTGTAACTTTAAGCTAGAATCCTTAAAATGTCAATTGATCAGGTTTTTAATAGTGTATAAATTATACACTGAATGTTGTTGAAACTTGAAACACTGGATCTCTGATAATGTACTCTCTGTTTAAATTACAGCTGTGATTGGGCCGCCATTAGTTGATGTGCTGTCCGAGGCAGGTGTACTACATGTCACCATTGCAGGACCAGTCACTGAAAATAAACTTCCTCTGAACAATGATTATGAGGATCTTGCATACCGTATATTTTATTGGAAAGAGAATGAAGATGGAAATATGAAAGTAAGTTTATTTTAAGCATTTCTTCAGCACCAGAATTAAGAAATGTCAATTATTAGAATTCAGCATTCTGCCTAATGGTATTATTCCAGTTTTAATGCCCCACAGTAGCTTCACCCACTTTTCTTCATTCCATCCTATCAATATATTCTTGTGCTTTCTCCTTCATTTACCATATCCAAAGCCAAGTTCTTAATTTAAGTAAAGACAATTATGCACGTACAAGGGGCTAGAATGCTAGGATACTTTGGGAAATTAAAAGCAATGGCGAAAATTTAGAAAAATAATTCACAATTCTTAACCAACACGCATTTCCATGAGGAATAAAAATTTAATGAGAAAAGTAGTCCAACCATAGTTCACCTGAGAAGTTAACTTAAGAGGCTTCTGAAGTTGGTCAAGAAAAGTAATCAGTCTGAGGACTGGCAGGTTTTAGAAATCAGCAAAGGATGATAAAGAAATTGATAAAGAGAAAAAAAAGCAGGACTTGAGAGTAAACTAGAAAGTTAAGTATGATCTTCTGCAAGAATCTAAAAATGGAAAGAATAGCAAAAGTAAAAATTTAGCTGTTTGAAAGAAAAGAGAAATTATATTGGAGAATAAGGGAACTACAGCAATGACAAATGAGTATTAGCATCCGACTTCACATTTGAAGATACAAAAATGTACTGAAAGAGGAACCAAGGGCTTGAGGAACTTGGAATAATTGTTAACAGTAGAGAAACTACTGGAGGAATTAATCTGACTAAAAGGTAAAAAATATCCATGGGTCTAAGGTTTTTAAAGGTAAGTTCAGGGGTAATGGATGCATTGGGTGCATCTTCCAGAATTCTCTAATCTCTAAAATTGTCTCTATAGATTTGAAGATATCAAATGTAATCCCACAGAACAGAGAGAAGAAACAGGAAAATATAGGCTTGTTGTCCTGACATAAACATTATGGAGAAAGTTGGAATTATTAGGTAGCCAGCCACTAAAAAAAAGTCACAATATGATTAAGCAGAGTCAACATGGTTTTATAAAAGAGAAACTGTGTTTCACAGATCTGCTAAGAGATTTTCCAATGTGTAATTAGCGAGGTAAGTGGAGGTACTCAATGAATATAATTTGTTTGCATTTTCAACACGCCACAAACTATAAATGGGTACATTCTCCCCAGTGCTTCTACAAATCAATCCATTTGCTAACCAATCAGCATTCCATTCATGCAGCATAAACGTTGGTTTTCCCCTTGAATTGATATTCTTGTGAAATGTCCTGATGAATGCAGGGCAAAACATTTTGACAAAATATTTCTTTCATAATATTTAAAATGTGATGTCTTCCAATATCTCTGAAGAAGACTGTTCTGAGACAGAGTTATATTGGACTCAAAACATTTACTCTGTTTTTCTCTCCACAGATGCTGCCAGATTTGCTGAGTTTCTCCAGCATTTTATATTTTTACTTCAGATTTTCAGCATCTGCAGTGTTTTATTTTAACTCTCCAGATTTTTGCAGCATCACTTTTAGCAATTTTGTTTATGTTAATGATCGATGTACACCAGCACCTCTTATTTTCAGTTCTCAGTATTCATTTCACTTACAGATTTCAAATTTCATTGTGATTGATCTGTCATCATATATTAGAATGGAATTATATCAATGAAGGCACGTTTCTGGGGTTTTGCTTTGTGCAGCTAACAACCTAGCAACTATTTTCCACTCTATACACTAATAGCTAACAAAAACTGCCAACTAATTGGCTTATGCTTGTTTTCTTTAAGATGGATAACAAATCTGTTACAACATCAACTGTTTTGCTCAATCTCCAACCATGGACCAGATACTGTTTGAAAGTACAGGCCTATTCTAAGGCGAGTTCTAAGCAAGGACAGTTCAGTCCTGTGATTTGCGAATCTGTCACTGCTAATAGTAAGATTTTTACATTCATTCTTCATTATATTTTAGTAATTTTAATGTTTATGATAGTTGGTTTTGTTGTTGATGTTCTTGGCCAATTTCACCTTGCTGCATTCAGGAAGTGAGGGAAGATATTGCATGCTCAGCACCAGTTGCCAATAACATAGTTGCAGAATCTTACAGCCCAGGACGATTTGGCCTGTTGTGCCTGTATCAGCACTTTGAAAGAGCTAACCAATTTATTCCTGCATTCCAGCTTTTACCCCTTACTGAATGAAATAAGTTCAAAACTAATTGTTTGACTTTACCTTCCTATTTAAAGTGCTTGAACATACTTTGGACTCCCAACTCATCTCATCCATTGCTCCCGATTTGAACTGACCAGTTTAGTTTCCACCCTTTCCACCAAAGTGAGATTGCTTTAATGAAAGTCACCAACAGTATCCTTTGTGATTGTGACTATAATCATGGAATACACTTTGACCTATTTGACTTCTTTGCAATGTTAGATAGTGTTGACCATCCCATCCTTCTTGCTCCCCTTATACAGTTCCATCCCTGTCTCTCCTGATGTAGTCACTGTATCTCCAGCAATGTCTAAATCTCGAGCTCCTGCATTTTTGCGCAGACACAATACGCAATTTTTGAGAGATAGTAAGAACTGCAGATGCTGGAGTCAGAGATAACACAGTGTGGAGCTGGAGGAACACACAGGCCAGGCAGCATTAGAAGAGCAGGGAAGTTCTGAATAAGGGTCCCGACCCAAAACATCAACTTTCCTGCTCCTCTGCTGCTGCCTGGCATGCAATTATTTGATCTGCATTGAACCTCTGTGCTGAACACTGAATTAGTGATATATCCAATTACAAAAGAAGATATGATAACTTTATGCTGAAAGCTGTGATCTGTTTTGGAAATGAGACCAACACTGAGGTAATCCTGACCTCGTTTCACTATCTCTGAGGTCAGAACCCAAACTATAGGGAGTCTAAGATACAGTTAGCAGCTCAGCTGTAGTTGGCATGTTGCAATATTTGCATTGTTAATCTCTTGTTTTACTAGTGTACCTACAACAGAGTATGTTTTTCTTTTGTCTGCAGCTAAGACAAGAGCTTTGGCAGTGGCACAGGTCCTTTTTATAGCATTGCTTGCTGTTTTGGTGGTAACATTGGGTTGTTTCTTCTTTGTCATCTATGCTCGCAAAGCCATCAAGTACCTAATGTATCCTTCCTACAGTCTCCCAGTACACATTAGAGAGGTATGACTACTCTTTTATCTGTATTTCTTTATTTTAGTACATTGAGAATGTTTTATTGACTACTGTTTGGCTATATAGTGTTGTAGATGTTATGGTCCCAGCTGATGTTATTACTGAACAAGTCAGATCCCAGACTAAAAAACTGGCTTGATGGATCATATTTTGTTTATTTTTATTTAATGAACTGGTCTTTCATGGAAACACAGAGATGCAATGTTGCAGATCTAGTTTTCATAACAAATAAGAAGTTTATTATGCAAAAAAAAAAGATAAAATGGAATTATCCAAACTGTTTACATATACCACAATTTGAAAGATTTTGAAACAAAGTAAAAGTACAATTCCATCATGGTACACTGCTCAAACACTAAAGAAGTTTCTTCTGTATCATATCTATAAGTTCGACTTGACTGTCTCTCTCAATTCCTAGCCTCGAGAGTTTGGTAGCCTCTTCCTTGATTATTCACACAATTAAGCTTAGAGTTCCTTAACTTTGAGTAAGCCCTCTGGGGTTTTAACCAAACACTTCTGATCTAGAACAAAAGTCTTTATACAGAGGCAACCTATTTCTTAACAATTTTAAACGACTTCCTTTCTTCAAGAGAAACTGTTTAAAACATCAAACTTTCAGCCAGACCTGTGTAGACTGACAAACAAAAGCTTTCCAAGCTATGGGTTTTCCTCCTATAAGCAAAAAATGTTCCTGATCCTTTTAACAGAAAGCAAACTAATACTCCTCTTTGTTTACTCTGGCTGCTCAGAAAATTTTCCCAATGCAAACAAATCCTTATTATTACCACCAAGGTCTCTCTCTGTCTCTAAAAGGACTTGGCTACAGAAATACTGACAGATTAATCATTAAACCCCTCATACACATGGAGCAAATCCCACATTCCACTAGTTCAAAGTCCAAATTCTAAAATAAATAATGTTAAAATATGTATAAATCACACACCTTACATCACACAGAGACGTACCCAAAATTTCTGTGACAGGAAATGCGTGGTTTTAACCATGATCTTAGTCACGGCATCAGGGCCAGTTGTGCATTTCTGACAAGAAAACAGAAAATGGAGCATCACCTCAAGCTACCCTTGCAAACCTACTAACTCCCAGTCAACTTACATAAGGGTTGACATTGTGGCTCAGGGTGATCTAAAGAAAAGGAGAAAAATAAACAAGAAATTAGGTTTTCATTTTCTCTCATTAAAAGAATCTGTAAATTCTGCTCTTCAGTAGATTAACAGTAATCTCTTCGACTCTGATTTTTTTTTTGTGGCAATATTTGCTGAAAGCGAGGCCCTTATTGAAAAGGCTCCAGCGGTGGTTACAATTAGCAGTCAATGTTATTTATTCATAAACCAGAACATATTTACTCCACACTTAGCTTACACTTAAACACTTTCTGCTGCTTGTTTAGCAATATTAATTTGTAGCTAGTAATCTAGACAGTGAAATCACATACGTTGGAGATTGACATTATTATAATGTTGTCAATTTTTGAATCAGGTTTACAAGCAAAATAATGTTGTAATGCTATGTAAAGATTATGGAATTGGGGACCAATCGGAACATTACAAGAGTTAGGAAGTTGATGTTAAATTTCAACACATGATGATCATCATTCACTGATGTGTGTTCAAACTCCCGCGTACCCACATTGCAATTATGAATGTGCCACTATGTAGTAATTCATACAGCAGTAACGGATTTGAATTATTTGCTTTCCACTTGAGATCAGCTCTACAGCTTGTGCTGATACTGTTAAGACCTTGAACTTGCCATGTGTCAAATATTCAACTGCGTTCCTGACCAGCCTCCAACATTCTCCCCTTTGTAAACTTGAGGTCCTTCCCCAGCTTGCACCAAATACCATTCACCCATCCTTCCTTTGCTAATGTTCTCTGGCTCCTGATTAAACAGTGTCTTGATTATAAATTCTCATCCCTGTTTTCAAGGCTGTCCATGAGCTGGCCCCTCCCTAATTCTGAAATCCTCTCCAACACCAAAATTCTCTGAAATATCTCAACTTCTTTAGTTTAAGTCCCATAATTTAATTGCTTCACCTATTGATGGTTGTGCTTTCAGCTACCTACGCTTCAAGGTCAGGAATTATCTTGCAGAACCTCTCCATTTTCCTTAAGTTGCATCTCAAACCTACCTCTTTGACCACGCTTTTTTTACTTTATTCACTCACGGGATGTGGGTGTCTCTGGCTAAGGCAGCATTTATTGTCCATCCCTAATGACCCAGAGGACAGTTAAGAATCAACCACTTTACTGTGAATCACATGTAGGCCAGACCAGGTAAGGATGGCAGATTTCCTTCCCTAAAAGACATTAGTGAAGCAGATGGATTTTTCCCACAATGGCTTTATGGTCACAATTAGACCCTTAATTCCAGATTTTTTTTATTGAATTCAAATTCCGCCATCTGCCACGGTGGGATTTGAACCCATGTCCCCAGAACATTAGCTGAGTTTATGGATTAATAATCTAGCGATAATACAGCTACCCCGAATGATTTCGGTGGTATAACGTTGCCTTATCTGGCTTGGTGTCTTGTTTTATCAGCCCTCTACAGAGTCAAGTTTTTATTGTACTACTTGACTGTAACATGTCTCTTGAAGGTAGATTCTGAATAGAGTAAATAGCTATCTTCAAGTTCAGTAATCTTAGAATTATATTGCTCTTCTGAAGTTTCCAGTACCAAACTGCAGATTAGGAGAAGATTACATGTCCAAGCTTTCAGCTCCAGAATGATGGGCAGTGGACTGGGGTCAAGGAAAGTGTGGATGAGGGGGGAATAAAATGACAAATTATGGGTGCTTGGGCTGATGGGCAAGTAAGGACAAAATAACAAAATCTTTAGCGTGGTAACTTAATTTGGGGGGATCTGTTGTTGAATTTAACAAGAGCCAAAATGCTGCTAATTTAGCATTTTTAGTTAAAATGATCAATAGACCTATATAAACTAATGTTAACAGTTGCATTTTTTTATTTTTCAGTACTTAACTGAGCCATCCCAACAACCAATGCTTGGAACACTGAATAAAGAAGACCTGCATGAAGAGCATTGGGACAAGCTCTCCATTGTCTCACAATCTGAAATTCCTTCGGTATTACTGAATTCAACTAAAACTGATACTTCAAAGTCAGAGAAGGATAAAACCCCATCTGGTGGGAAGATACTTAATGAAGAAGATGATGTGCAAAGCAGTCAATCAAGTGTAGATTCTGGACATTATTCCAACAATACGGAAAATTCTGCCCATAAAACTCCACAGGGTTCAAGAAGAAACACCTAAAACATATCAATTCAAAGACAATGTGAATTTGGTGGACTAACATTAGCCTTTCCTCTGCCTCCTGAAATTGACTTTGTGGTTTACTAAGAACTGACGCACTTACTTTCACAGAAGGAAATGAAACTGAGAATCTCTGTATTCAACATTATTTTTAGTGCTCAACTACGAGCATTTGGGAGTTAATTGGAAAACATAAATAACTTCAAGGTACTAACATTTTAATTCATAGGTCTGCTGAGGGAGGTAAACAGCCAAGCCACAATCTAATCTAAAAACTCAAATTGGAAAATCGAAATATTTGTGCCAAATATTTCCTACCATACAGGCAGACTTAAAAGATTGCCCTCCAAGTTATTCTTTTTAAAATTGGAACTGGTAAAAGGAGTTGGTAAAAGCGAGAATGCCTTCCCTATTAAGCCAGCACCAGGATGGACTCCCAGCTGACCCTGTTGTGGGGTGAGGGCAGTGTGAGGTGTCACATTCTAGGGTTCTCTATGGCCCATGAAGGGGCCCGCAGGTGGCAATGGTACTTCCACCACGCTGCATGCCCTCCATAAACGTCTCTTCCACTCGGCAATCATAATCACTGAGGCCCAAGTGGCCCCAGCCTTCCACACACAGCCCTCCGACCTGTCAAACAAGACGTGTCCTCAAGGTTGCTGGCCATGGATGTATCCTCATCGTCCAGGCGAAGTACCAGCTGTGACCACTATAAGTGATGGTGCTGCTGAGCTGCTGGCCCTCTGATTGGGACCTTCATGTGGAGGCAGGCCTGGCAGGAGGAGCCACTAAATTGGCCTCCACCAGAAGAGTGGGGTTATCCGCTTGCCTCCTACTTTTGACCCTGAAGGCAGATCATGTCCCACTTCCGCAAAACCTGAACCTTCCTTTCCACATCTCTCTAAGGCACTGTCTGAGCAGGAAGCCTCCTGAGGCCATTCCCACCGAGTTACTTTATTTTCAGTGACAGCACTGTGGGTGTACCTGCACCAAGTGGATTGTAGCAGTTTCATAAAGGCAGCTCACCGTTATCTTCTCAAGGGCAGCAATGGATGGGTGATAAATAATGGCCCAGCCAACAATGCCCACATTCCCATGATTAAATAAAACAAAAACTAAAGTATGAGTTGGAAGGTTGAAACATCAAGATGTTGTCAAGTCCAAGGTTTGTTTATCTCAGTGAACAGACCCCATGGAATATGTTTTTCTAAAACAACTTGGTTCCCCTTTCAATGATAGTCTTTCTGTATTGTGAATTGACGGGTTAAGCTGACCTCCTAGCCTTCTCTCAAAGTTGGTGTGTGGGTAACAGATATGGTAAGCAGGATAAAACATGAATGACATCACCCTGATCTCCTGTTCCATTGGGGCTAGGAACCAGGTCTCCACTTAGTATTAATCCTGCTGTTGTGGGTTGGCAATGTGAATTTGCCCTGTGCAAAGAACAAGTGTCCTTTTACCTCAGATATTGCACAGCATTGCTATTAAGGAAACCATAGCATAGCAGTTGTGTTACTGAACTAGCAGTCAGGAGGCATAAGTTCAAATGGCATTTGGCAACTAAATTCTGTTGATGAGGAGACTTGGAATAAGAAAACTCATCTGCAATGGTAATTGGTGGGCGGTATAAAAACCAGACTGATTTATTCGTGTCCTTTAGGGAGGAAAATCTGCTATACAGTTTAATCTGTATGTGGAACAATACCTATAACAGTGTGATTAACCTGTAACTGCCCTGTTTTGACTGAACAAACCTCCCAGATATTGACAATAGTATATATTGGTAACACATACACTTGATTTAATGAAAGAAAACTCACTTTATAAAATTGACATGAATCCTTGATTGCCTACATTATAGTGTAAAACAATAGAATATTTTGACTATTGTATTTATAGTTAGGTCAATTAAAGAATGAATATTCAGTAAAGAATTAGGTAACATTTCTTTGGAGAGAAATTTCGACTGCTCTTAAACTTTATAATGTCTATAAAATGCTTTTTGCAAAGTGTACTAGTTTACAGGCTTCACTTTCCACAGCCATTGTCTTTTCATTTTAATATCAAATTTGGCAAAGGTACTACTCAAGTTAGTCAGAACAATTCAATAAAGAAAACTTTCATTCTGTGCTATTTTAACACACTTCATTTCCATTGGAAGAAATGGGAAATAAAATATTATTAACAGTAACTGGCACTGAATATGTATTATTAAGCCATACTCTAGGTGTACTTGGGGGAAGTGGATTTTACAGCCTGACCATGTAGATTACATTTGCTAAAATCCCAAAAAGGGATTATGTGTTGAATTCATTTTAAACACAATCAACTTTTAATGGATATGGAAATAACATTTATTCAACTGGATTATTAGTTGCTGATGTGGGCATTAAAACATGTTTTCTAAATAAAAAGCATAAATAACTTAAGGTAATAATCATTCTTGCAACAGTTCTGTTCATAAACTCAGTTAATTTGGAAGAAACTACATTATGTCATAAATGTTTTCAGTATTAAGTAGCCTATTTGCTCTAGCAAACACAAACTACAGACTGCCAACTTGTGTCTTAGGTCTCATCCTTGGGTTGTTTAACATTACTGAGTAAGCTTTTGCTACTCATGGGCCCATAGATCAATCAATGCATGATTACCGCCTACTATTTTGCGAATAGGGCTAAATGAAATGGGCTAAGGGAACGCTCAGATGGAGCATAAACAACCAGCAAAGATCAGTCAGGCCAGATGATTCAGTTTTATGCTCTATATTTTATGCAATCTATAGCTTGTCACAGATGTGAATTTTGAAGGCAGAGTGTCCAGCGCAGTGGGTCAGACTGTCTCAGATTCCCAACTGAACTGGGCAACGGTAATAAATGGTGACAAAACAGGGGTACATTGAGGAACGTGTATGCAAGATTTGAAAAGAAAACATCAAAAACAAATCAAGTGTCAATGTGAAAAGCTAGCAACCTTGTCGTTGACTTCACCAACTCAGCACAACTCTCTTCAAGATTTTATGATTTATTATTTTTACTGGGATTCAGAATCTACATATTCATGAAAACTAACTTTACTTGTAGTTAATTGTACAGTATTGATTACAACACAGAAGAAGGCCAGTCAGTCCATTGTGTTTGTGCTAACCCTCTGAAGGAGCAATTCAATTTCTGCAACTTATGCTTTTTCCCCATAGCCCTGCAATTAATTTTCTTTTCAGATAGTGATCCAGCTCCTTTTTGAGAACCTCAAATGACTTTGCATTTCCCATCAAGCTCCTCAGAGTGACGATAACCGACAACCTGTCCTGGACTTCCTACGTAGATGCCACAGTTAAGAAGGCACAATAACGCCTCTTCTTCGTCAGGCTGTTCAGGAAATTTGGCATGTCCATAGGGACTCTCACTAACTTTTATAGATGAAGTATCGAAAGCGTACTGTCCAGGTGCATAACAGCCTAGTATGGCAACTGCTGTGCCCTGGACCGTAAAAAACTACAGAAGGTGGTGTGCACAGCCCAGACCATCACGGAAGCCAACCTTCCATCCATGGACTCCATTTACATGGCTCGCTGCCACAGAAAGGCTGCCAACATCATCAAAGACCCATTGCACCCCGTAATGATGACTTACAATCTCTTCTGTCAAGCAGAAGATACGCACAGAAGCAGCAGATACACAGCAGAAGCCTGAATGCACACAAGAGCAGATTCAGGAACAGCTTCTTCCCAGCCTTTATCAGACTGATGAATGGACTCTCTAGCCTCAAATAATGCTGATCTTGCTAACGTTAATCTCATCCAGTGCACGCCCTGTGCAATGTAACCCATATGCCTCTGTCTAAGTCTTTTGGTCTGTACATCCTTGCTTACTATGATCTGTCTGTACCCCTCGTAAACAAAGCTTTTCATTATACTTCGGTACACGTGACAATAAATCAATGAATCAATGAGCCAATGAATTCCAGATCCTAACCGCTCACTGCATGAAAATATTATTCCCCATGTTGCTATTGCTTCTTTTGCCAGTAGCTTTAAATCTTTGCCCTGTTTCATCCATCAATGGGAACAGCTTTTCCATAACTGATCTGTTAAGATCCCTTCTGATTTTGAACACCTTTACAAATTCATCTGTCAATTTTCTCCACCTTCCAACTTCACCAATCTTTCTAGGTAACTAAAGTTCCTCATCCCTTTCTAATGCTTTCACACCCTTCCTAACGCGTGGTGCTGAGAACTGGATGCAGTGCTGCAGTTAATGCTGAAGCAGTATTCTTGTTTATATTTGTTCATGGAGTGTAGGCATTGCTGACTAGACCAGCATTTATTTCCCATCCCTTGGCACTGGTTAGCCTTCTTCATTTGCTACAGGCTGTGAGGGGTAGGCACATCCACACTGCTGTTGGGAAGGGAGTTCTGGGTCTGGTCCAAATGACAGTGAAGATTCAGTTATAGTGTGGAGCTTGAAAGGGAAGTGACAAATGGTACTATTCCCTTGCATCTGTTACTCTGTCCTTCTAATTAGTTGAGGATAGTCATTTGAAAGGTGCAGTTGAAGGAGCCTTGATGAGTTGCCGCATTGTGCCTTGTAGATGGTACACACAGCTGCCAATATGTGTTCATGGTGGAGGGAGGGAATGTTGAAGGTTATGGATGGGTGCCAGTCAAGTGGGCACCTTTGTCTGAAATGCTAACGTTTCTTGAGTGTTGTTGCAGCTGTATCCCATCCAGGCAAGTTGGAAGTAATCCAAGACACAAAGTCGTGAACCCGGTGAACAGGCTTCTAGGAGTCAAGAAGCAAGTTGCTGTTTTATATAAATCATGGCAAATGGAACATCAAGAGGGATGGGCAATAAATATTGGCACAACCAGCAAATCAATGCTTATAGTGATTTTTCTCATATCGCTAATTTAAAAGCAATGCATTTTATTATTGTAAAACACTGTCAATTCTTAAGCTGCTTGTGTCTTCTCTTAAATAATGCTAGTCTTTACACTCATGTTTCTGTTTAGGAGCAAAGATGATTCAGTTATTAGTTGTTTCCCTGGCACTGATACGTACTACAGCCTACACATTTACATGGAGGAGTGAGGTTAGATGTGTAGGACTTGGTTTTATCAACAGAAAACGTAAACACTGAATCAAGAAACAAAGCATTGTTTTACATCTTTGTGGAAGAAATAAGTGACAATGGAATTGCACATGTTTATGTGTAGTCTCTGTTAAAAGAATGTAAATAATGTCATAAACCAGGAAAGTGAACATTCACATTTTATGAGCATCCAGATTATGTTCATTACTATCATAAAACAGACAACTGCAGATGCTGGAAATCTGAAACAACAAAATTTGCTGGAGGAACTCAGGAGATCTGGCTGCGTCTGTGGAGTATTCTGAAGAAGGGTCAGTGGACACGAAACGTTTACTTTGTTTTCTCTCCACAATTGCTACCAAACGTGCTGAGTTTCTGCAGGAAATTCTGTTTTTGTTACATACATTAGTTCTTTGCATTCAGATATCTTAACATTCGACTTTGACAATTGTCATTTCACAACTTTGCAATCTGGTGTTTACAAACTATTGGAATTTTCAACTCAGAGCAAAATTAAGTAAAACTGCTTTGTAAACTGTTCAGCAAATTTTGGTGGACCAGCATTTACTGTGGAAAGAATAATCACTATGTTTATTGTACTAGCCATTGTTAACACACATCACCAATACTTCAACGAACATCTCATGTGTAGGTACCTTTGTGAATACCAATCGGAACCACAAACATTTTTGTCTTCATGTTTCTGTTTTGATTATGAACTTTCAAAAATTATAATTTGACATCCATTTTTGTCTTTTATGTTTTCTGAATGTGAAAGTACTTGGAATTAAAGACAGTTTAACTCATTTTTCTAATGTGCTTAGAGTTTGACTAGATGTTGTGTTCATTACATTGAGAGGGAGACAACAACAGGACCATTCTCTACACGTTGTGCACAAAATTTTACAGTCAGTGTTCAGGCAATTAGATATACTGCTGCCTAAAAATAGACTTTGGTTCTGAAGTTCCTGGGACCTGGATTCACCAAGGCAAAAATAGATGAGCAGAACCACATCTATCCATACCAGTAAGCACAGACCCAGGGCAGAATTTTCTCAGGCACTGAATGACATGGAAGTTAGGAAAATTGCATGCAATGGCCATTGGAAAGCTTCTCAATATCATACGTAAAAAGCCTCACTTTCCAACCAAGTGTTGATTGGCGAGACAAGATTCTTGATGAGTGGGTAGAGGCAATTTGCATGCATTAGCATCTTATTACATGATCTTGCCTCAGTGATACACAGTTTCTCATTCGGCCACTGTCACTCACAAACTGGGTGCAGAGAATTCCTGATGTCAGAACGGTTAACTGGCAACTCTACCTCACTGCTTACCCCTCTGGACATCCATCTTGGACACCAGGTACTGACATCTCCGGGCAACCAGTATAGGCAGAGACTGCAGAGGACCCTGCATATGGGTGTTGGCATCTGACATGTGCCAGCTTACCACACCTTCATGTCACATCCTCAAACCACTTGCAAGGTTGCTGTACTTTGGAGTGCACTAGCACCTTTCAGAGTAATGCTGCTGCCAGGGCACATTACAGGGACATGCACCCAATGCATGGAGTCAGCCACAGTTCAGCTCCGGGCTCCTCACTCGTTCTCTTAGCATTCATTAACTTTGTGCCCACTTCAGTACTACACAGTATCTCTGCCTTGCTTTTTTGTGCTTTGCCTCCTTCAACCAGAACATAAATGCTTACAGTACTTTTACCTTGCCTTGCCTAATAACAGTGGCACAAAGTCAGGTAGCCAATAATATTCAGTCAAGGATGTGGGCGCATTGCTTCATAATACTACGTTGTGTCAATCTTACACCTGCACCATGTGCCAGCTGCATACACAACAAACACACTGTATGTGCCTCACCAAATGGCTATGTCTCAATGGCTAAGGGAGGTAGTCTTCAGTAAAGTCAAAGGAGATGGTGATCAGTCAGGAGGTCCTAGTGAATAAGTTCATTGCTGCTTCTCCACACTGTCTATGTATACACCATTCCAACATCCTAGTAAACATAATTTCACCAAGGCCTTCCTAAAGTGTGCTATTGAGCATTGTAGGAATGTATACTGAGTAGGAGTGAGCTATTTCAAGCACATTCCACCATTCAATAAAATCATGGCCAATCTGGTTTTTGTATCTGCATTATGGCTGATGCTCCTCCCTTTTCATTTCCACTTCACATTGTTGGAACAGTTACCAGCAAAGTATTGCTATTCTGCATGATAAGTTGGTAATAAAATGTGACCTGGAGGCAGCCTTATCAGGTCATCTACGAAGGGGTCTGTGGCTTCTCCATTAGAAAGAGATTTGTTGTGGAGTCATTTTCTTGGCAGCT